AATATCCTCATCTATTTCGCATTTTTTCTCAAGAGAGTGAAGATTCTTTTTATAACCTCGAGGTTCTGGTAAATATTATTATGAAAAATACCGTAAGTGCTTGTTTTCATTAAAATTGTTTGCAATAAGTTAAACCTCTTTTCTTTCTTATAACTATTTTTTTAATATTCCCCCACACTTTCCATTGAAATCGCTGATTTCATCAGTTTGTTCTTTCTTTATTTAAAAATATTTTGAAGAGGGACTGTTGAATCAGAATATACTTTAATGCTGCCAAATATTTTTAGTGTATTCAACAGAGGAGTCATGAAATTTCATGTTGCACAAACGATGTAAAAATTGCGCAGCTATTTAATGCTGTACATCATAAAAAAGACCCGATGAAGTTCGAAAGTTAGCCAAAGTACAAACAACCGTGTTCAAGAATTAACGTTATACCCTGAAGCTTTACAGAAAACGTAAGAAATGTTCTAATGTACAACTCGTGGTCAAACCGATTATGAGGGTACAATTTATGACTGTAATCCGCGGTCGCTTCACCCAAGTTTGCCTGCGTTTATGTCCGCAGCGTAAATTTCCCTTCAAGCTAAGGAATTACTAACTTAAATACTCATGTTTGAACTTCGAGATCCCACTAAAAAAATAGTGCTGTTAATCCTGAAACTTTAATTTGAAATATAATGCAAAAATGTTCAAATTTTCAAGATTATTTCGAAAAAAACGTAACCTATTTCGGTGTCATTTCAGTAGAAATTAATATACAAGAACACTAGCTATTTAATCAATAAATACACTCAATGATATCATTTTTGAAAGATTTCCTGCCTGAGATTGTTGCGTATGATTTGAATTAGAATCAACTGCTTGAAGAATTGAAGCTTGACAATGTTTGGTTTTCGCTCTGATAGTATATAGGAAATGTAAAATTTAATAACTGCTTGATTCGAAATTAAATCAATTTCCAATAAGAGGGTAGAAAAGTGATATATAGTAACAGGTAAATGAGATACCAACAACGAGTGATTGGAGATGATACAGGCGATCCACCATAAATCGGCACAGGTTATAGCTGCTCTATGTTTCATTCTACATAACTGTGCAGAATACTTTTATGGGAAAAAAGATTAACGATATTGGGTCTTCGTAGCTGCGTCTACGGAATAGGATTTTTTAATAACTGCATACCTTTCTTGTCTTCAATAGGTATTGCTTGGCGACGCGAAAAAGACTGATTTGGAAATTCTAGAATGTCTACCAGAACGGAACGCTCGTCCCATTCAAAGGAAACTAAAAGAATGAAAATAAAGAAATTCCGTGTGCAGGACGAAATTTCTTGTCCATTACTTCTATACGTGGTGTCCCATATTATCTATAAACAAAATTATCTCTGACATTACACGTTATTTAAAAAATATTTCAAATTCAATTTTTTGTGTTTTAAGAGATGTATTCATAATATAAAATTAATCCTGTAATTTTACATGTATCAATCGACGTTTCAACGTCTAAAAGTCATCAAAACAGAAAAACATAAATAGAAATTTCAAGTAAAATTCGAAGGAAAATACCTTTACGTTAATATAAACAAGGCGACAAAGCAATTTACAAAATGTCCTATCAAAAAGAAAATGTACATTAACTCGTTCGTAACTAGCGTTTGTCCCAGTGGCAGTTTTTACAGTTACAATATTTTATTAAATGCAATAAATTGTCTTTATAAAATGCAAATAAAATTGAAGAAAAAACTCTCTTCAACTTCCTACATGTTACACCATGTGTTACGATTTTAGATACAAATATACGTGAAAGTAATTTTCTCTACGCGAGATGCGAAGTGTTGAGCGTTATAAATGTATGACACTGGTCGCGAACGTGTCAACTTAAGTCAGAGGAAGAAAGGAACTAAGCTATACATCGAATTCTTATCCCTTTTGGGACAGGACTGTCTGATGTATGAGAATACCGCTTGCACGGAGAGTTTTGGAAGTGTTTGATAAAAAGATGATATATGCTTTGGCTGCTGTCTGCAGATACGCGTCCAGAACCGAAAATGCTCGTGTTGCGGTCCGCAGACACGCCCACAAAGTGTTAATATTCTCGAGCAGCGCAGTAGTTCATGAAATATGTACATAGACATTTACTGATAATGTAATCATAACCATTTATGGTGTTGTGGCCTCTGGTAAATTGGATAATTATAGCGCATCATACATGTTAATCCTTTAGAGTCGAATCCGACATCGATATCTAAAATTGGAAACTGCAAATGAATAATTTAATTACTCAATTAACGAAAGACTGACATGTTGTCTTTCTTCGTTTAGTATATAAGATGTGATATATAATTCAGTTTTTTATGAAAAGAATTGTTAGAAACTTAAGATAGCTTCGTTCGTAAAGAGTTAGTAGAAAATTGTCGACCGATCGATTTTTCTGATGTAGAAACGTTTATTTGAACCAATCGATTTTTTCTAAGCATAAGAATATTTTCCTTCCTTAGAAATACACAAAACATATCTCGAATGTGACTTTCGCCGTTGTATTTCTATCGTACACTCGTATGAAGCTAATAAAGAAAAACAGGAATAATATATAATATCAATTACTACAAATAAAACGAATGATAATAAAAGTTGAACGAAAATGTCTGCGAAAATGAAGTCTCATGAAACATCCCTTGAACATTTACTGGTAAAAATCATAATTGTCGATTAGGTGTTGCTTAATTTACTGTTCATCGCGAAAGAAACGTCGAGTGTAAGAATTGCATAGTAACTGCGTGTAAGGGAGATTGAAGAGTGCAACGATTATGGAGCAGTTATGCGAAAGGTTTCTTGAGTCGTCCTCGTTACCAGTGCTTCCTTTTTTTGGCCCGTTAAGTGCAACGTCACGGTACTACTGGGAGTTGATCTCCGCTATTACGCTTGGATAAATGAGAACCGCATTCCATTCCATAGGTCCTTTCATTTTAATTTGCAAGTTTAGGTCCATTCCCCGATTCTGCTCTCTTTCTTACGCCCTATTCAACCGGCTTCAACAGCGCGATATTAAGATTAACGACTGCTGTCGTTTATTTCGCTGCCTCTTGTGTGCTTACGTAAACCGCACTGCCATCGTCGCTGTTTCCTATTCATGCGAAATGAGAAACAGCGGGAGAGAAAAGTCCGCGGACTTTTCCGACTGATCCATGAAAATGTATCGCTGTACACTGCCGCTCAATAGTTTCAAATCAGTTATTTGAGGAGAACAAAGGGCGGATTTCTTTTAATGGAAAATATACAAGAAACATTTGCACTGTTATACAAAAGTATACATATTTCAATTCAGTATATACCATCATAGAAAAGTGATAAGCGGGCTGCGGATCTTCATGCAAATTCAAATTTTCAAGAATATTATTGAGAAAATAGAATTACGATAGAAAATCGTTTTCTTTAATAGATACTTAAAATTTCGCACTTGCAAATGTTTCAGAAATACTTCAAAACCTGCAGTTTATTAATTATCAAGCAAGGAGGTACCTCGCTTCAAATTTACTAAAAGCTTGTGTGAATTTTTTTGATAAATAAAATTATATGAACAAGTATTCTACTTTCCCATTTCTCGAGCTTCAACTTGCAAAGTCTATAAGATTGGATATTAATTTTTCTAAGAATAGTGTAATAAAGTTCAATGTTGAAGTTCGAAGTTCAAATTACATTCGTACGCGATACAATTTGTTCTACTTGATGTTATCAATACCGGATATACGGGGTAATCTTTCCGTCGATGTTGTATTTAGCCTTATTTCGTTGTCTTTGTTATTGCCCGGATCGAAAGCATTCTTCTTTTGACCTTTCCTTTACGTTCAGAAACACTCAACCGTTGGTCGTAATCTGTAGCCACGTGGTGAGGTGCACTAGGACCAGTTGCTAGATTTTTTTTATTTTTCAACCTCATAATAGCTTTATTATTATTAGTTACAAAATGACAAGCTTGAGAATATAATACACATACATGGGAAAAATAAAACTTAACGATAAATATATACAAAAGTGAATATTAGAATATTAGTAACAGTATACATTTATTCTGGACAGTGGATTACAATGATCAATTAGTAGATTTTGAGCGTACAGTCTTTTTAATAATGGTTTTATCGCATATCGAACACGTATGTTGCTACATATGTAATAATATTTGGTATACAAGCGTCATAAGACATATACAATATTTTTAAAATACCTAATATTACATGTACATATTTTTATATTTATTTTGTCACTCTGCGAAAATTTTCCAACATGGTGGAAGAAAGGTGTTCTTGCTCAAAGTACACAAATCAAGCTTCATTATCATTTTGAAAGTCATGTAGATCATTTTGACCTTATGTTTGCAGTGCTATGCATATTAGGAGTCGGGGTGTTCACTGCACTTCTTGTGTTGACTACTTTTCTTCGTTAAGCTATAATGCAAAAATATTGCTTGATTGTCTCTTCTTACCTTTTTTTTATTACGTCACTGGTTTTGTGAATTATAGCAGCAACTTCGTTACTTTTTCGATTATAAATCCGTTGTGATATTTAAATACTCGATGAACGAATGAGAATGTTTCACAAAGTGTCACGTAAGATTTTTCATTGTTTCCACTTTGAATTTGGAATGCACTTATTCGTACAAAGGAAATTTTGTAACTCGGAAGTTCCGACTTTATTCTCTTTATGCATTACAAGTGTGTGCATTACCTCAGCAGAAATACTCAGCAAAATTTTCATTTTTGGCTTTCTTCAGTTCCTTTTCGTTTTTATGAAAAGATCCCTCGAATGGAAACAGGTATTACTCTATCCTGTGTATGTTTAAAACTATAATAGATACGAAACGATTATTTGAATAACAATTGAATAGCATTTTATACTTTCTAGGGTGATATTATTACATTAATAAAAACGTTTTATTATACATACTCTCGCTAAATTTAAAAAAATCAAAATTTTCGTCTTACCTGAGTGTCTTTGCTAATGATCGCAGAGATTCTACTCTAAGCCGAAGCGTAAAGAAAAATTTAATTAAAAGAATGGTCAAAATATATCTTGACTATGGTGTGAGTCTCTGCCAACGGTAAGGTACAGCAGCATTGTTCTGTGAGTCAATGGCAGAAACTGGCACGCAGAAATCTCGAGTCTGGATCATGCGACGAATGCGGATGACCGTGTGCAACTGTTGGAAACTATAAAAGAAAATTCATATAGAAGAACACATATGTGTCAACGTGTGGAAAAATTTCTGAATAGAGCATTGGCGATAACACAAAGAACGGATAGTTCTGCGACGGACCAAAAGCTAAGGTCCTCTGCGAATGTCTCTACAGAAGACTGACCCAGTATTATCAATCTCAAACTGATTTTCTATTCTTATGAATATTTTTTACTACGAAAATAATTTTTCGCTCTGTAATATTATCTTAATATTTTCTGATTAAATAATAATTCTTTACTTTAATATTTAATATTTATATTGTCATTCCTTTAATTATCGAAACATTGAAATAAAAAGAAATATATTTGATTGCTGGTAAAGAAAATATACGTGAAATATTTTGATGAAAACTACATTACACTTAAATTTCATCGATGTCAGTAATTCATGTCTCAGAATGTATCTTTGTTAGTCATGAGAAATTAAGCTTATTATTAGTTCTGTAAAGTATATTTAACTCTCTGCACTCCGTTGTTGTCGCTGCGGCGACATTGTAAGATAAGTTTATAACTCTGTTTTAATGAAACATAACTTTAAAATGTATACGCTTTTTTTTTAATGACGAAACAGGATCTTCAATGTTTTACAGAAGCGCGATCGTACTATTGTAAATACTCCTGAAGTAACTGGTAGCTCATAATAAAAATGATTCGGAGTTGCTGAAAGGTCATATTAAAAATTGCTCGGAGTGCAACGGGTTAAAGAATAGTGTACCTATTAACCTTTAACTTATCTTGCACACAAATCGAAATAATTATAAAAGTTAAAGTATGGCTAGATTAAATACTGATTTCATTATTTATTTGTTTCAGGTAAGTGACAATCTGCTCAGAGGAAGTATATCGGCCAATAAGTAAGTGATTAAATATCCGTTCAGTAATGAAAGTTTGATGCAGGAACAGGTATAGATATTTTGCCACGTAAAGTGACAGAGACTTAATCTTGATAATGGCACGCAATGGTAAGAGGTGAAGCAATTACCCTCTTATGATAGGATCGATGAACTGAGGTTGTACGTTGTAGGGAGTAAACGATGTATGAAATTCAAGGTCGGTGATATATAAGTGGGCTACTTGACAGGTAATCGAAATTGTTGTCACCCTTTCTCTAATAACAATAGGAATATACAAGGTGGACCACATATTTTGTGTTGCTAGCCACTTGACACCTGAGAGAAGGTGGGTCTAATTGGTAGCTCGCATATTTTCACATGCATTTTCGGCAGTAATATGTTATTCCTCAATGTAATCACATGGCAATTAAACAATATCATAAACAACACACACCAAAAGACCCTTTATGGGTATTCTGAATATATTCTACAAGATTTTAACTGTAATTTAAAGAAACGCAACGCTCTATCTTAATTCTGTCACAAGTCATTTATATATGAAAATGTTTGCAAGTAACATTTAATAAACATGAATATATTAATATAATGTAGTATAATAAATATCATCGATTTTCATTATTTATTAAACTTCATTGATAATAGATTTTATTCCTTTAATCAAACTTTATCATCTTTCTTATAATGTAGTTATTAAACAAACTTCAGTTTAACACCGTTAAATGAAAGAAATACTTAGAAATCAGTGTTGTTAAAAAATTGATTCGATGCGATCCAGGATCTATTTTTCACAATTAACGGTACTACCACTAATTGGTCTGCCAACGTTCGATGTTTTCTCAATGAACCAGTGTGGAGGAAGAATTCATCTACTTAATCTTTAAAATGTTTTCTTATCTGGTAGACGTCAGAGGAGAACGAATTGCGTATAAACGCCTTGCTGCAGCTGAATTACATTCAGCAAGGCCATTCATTAGACGAGTATTTTAGTGTAGCTGGTATCTTTTTACGAATTATTTATGAAAATGAATAAAAGACGAAGATCTCAAGTTCTACCCACATAAAGTTTGCAAATGAAATGTTTAAGTTTTAACTCAAGCCATAAAGAATACATGTTGAATGTAGGGTAAAAATAATTTTTAAGTGAACTTACGCTATGAACTATCCTTCTTCCTTGACAATAGGAATTTCAAATTAATTTTCTAATGATTTGACATTCCCGTCGATATCCTGAACCGTTATATCATTTTGTCATTAATTTTAGCATTAGAAATGATTAAACTAGATACGAGGAAGAGCTGAATTACACGACAAATTAGATCTCGCGGATGTATGCGATTCACGGTTGAATGAACAACTGTATAGCAGTTCCTGTCATACTTAAACGATCACTGGCTTCGAGTTGAGGTAGCATAACATTATTTGTACCTATTGTCTAACATTTTGGAAGGGAACCCTTTTACAAACTAGTTTTTTTTATATATGTGAAGTTAAAAGTAAGAAATCGCAAATATTAAATAGTCAAATGTAATAGGGTGTACATATTCAGAAAAATGTACAAACTGAAGATGGATTTCATTAAAATTAAGATAATCATTATATTCAAATCTCATTGCACATCGAGTACAGATCATTATTGTTTTTTTCAACAGAGAAATGTGAAAATTGTTGTTCTTCTGTGAGAAAGTCGGCCAGGATAAGTGTGTTTGCAAAAACAGTCGTCATTCGTTGCAAATCCAACATTTGTAAGGCATTTGCGAATACAGACAATGCTGACGAATGGCATCGTGTTTATAATGTTCTTCACATTCTAAGTACTTTACACCGTTTCCTTTTAGCTCGGACACCCTTGCTTTCATTTGTCCTTAAGGAGCTCTCATCGCGAAAGAACGTCTTGTCTTTCCGCTTCATTTTATTTCAAACTATGACATGTTTTACCCTTAAAAATTGTTATAACTGATACCTCCTCCTAATAGAATTTTATTTTAATATTAACAACAGACATGCTGATTAACTTTACGGATATTTACTCAGTTTACTCGCTGCAATAACATTGTCAAGAAACAGACTAGTTCCCTTACATGTTTTGTTACAAACAGAGCAATAGTAACGTTAACACATTCTTTTTATAATAACTTAAGCGTTAAATAATAGAATAACCCAAAGTTTAAATGCATTCATACAATTTTGATCGTGTGAATTTACACAATATTTTATTCAGCTGTGAAAATGGGTCTTCGGTTGTTTCAGAAATTCAAATTTTATACCTGTTAGAGGCGAAACAAGCATGGTAGAATTCGAGTAGCTTAATGTTTGAACCGTCACAGATTGGAATTGTTTCACAGTGATTCAGCTTGAAACTTGAATTGACATGAACGGTCGAATGCTATTCCGGATTCTTCCTTCTCCGTAGTCCCTGCGGTATTGTAAGCGATAGAGAACGAAGAGTAAATGCAAAAACAAGATAAATTACACATTAACCCTCAGGGTATCGTGCTGGGTCAATTTAAATTCATGAGATCGATTGTGTTATGTAGAAAATGTAAATTTAAGTTCAACAATTCTCAATTATTAGAAAATATACATACATGAAGAGTGCATTTTCGTAATTCTATAGTAGTTATCCTGTGCAATGGTTTAAAACTTTAAACGTTAATCTTACAACTCGTATGAGCCAAGAGACCAAAGTACTGCCGAACTTAATTTTTCAAGAAACAGGACAAGTAGCGTAAGTTCGAAACAAATAAGTAACCGTGCGACACATTTTATAGACTTGACGTGAAATTGAAGGTAATAACTCCTGAAAGAAAAATGATAGACTCTTAAGGATGCCATAAATTGCATTCACCTAGTGACTGAAGACAGGTACTTTGTTTGCGACGATGGTCTCCTGCTATTTTCGATGGATCACATATTTCAATTTCAGTTAAACGCCTGACGCAGCTGACGCATAGTAGTAAATATTAGAAATGCAAGAGCATAACACTGTCTTAACATTTCAATCCGGTTAGAACATGTAGCCAAAAACAGTATATTTTTAATTGTTTTGCTATCCTTGCATTTTACGTTGTATTGAAGTTCTATATGTGTATATATATATATATATGCAATGAAACTTTTATTTATTATAAATACGTGGGATAATGGTCTAAAATGAATTTCAAATATAATGCTGTGATACGTTTGTAAAATTCTTCAGTTTATATTTTAAAGCTTCCTCTATAAAATAAAGTTCTTCATTCCAGAACATCATTGCTTCCTATAAAATGTAAATTTCGAAGTTTATTGCGTGTCGTAACATCCTGATTCTCTGACGCCGTCATCATCGTGATTAAACCGACGCCAAAATTGGGATATGAAATTCACTGCGTCGATGTAACTTGACGCAAGTTGTGTTAAGTGAATTCAAACTTTATTCAAGTGTTCCCCATACTGTATTCAGTTTTTATTCGTCGCATATTTATCACACTACAAAGCGCAGTGTGTAAGCTTGTACTTTCTTTCGAATATTTCTTGCACTACTTTACACTTTCGTTTATTACATTTTACAGTACTGGAAAGTACACGTGCACATATATTATGTACATACTGTGTATTGCAAAAAAAAACCCGTCGAAAAACAGTACTATGTTTGAGTTCATATATTTCTATAAGATATTCCAAAGTCAATATGAGTATATACGTACGTATGTTCTTATGGTTATACCTTCGACCATATTTCAGCATCCTTTACGTAGAAATGAAACACAAGGCATTGGCAATAAAAAGTTGCGGAAAATTAATATTATAGTTTTAATAACACGATCTGTTCTTTGTGTATTCCAAGTATTGGGTGCTTAATTATGATACATTAGCTTGACGGTTGGCATTATTTAGGAAATGATAACATGGTAATGTACCAAATAAATTTGATATAGTGATAGTTAAATGTTTATATTACAAGTTTATAGTACAAGTAAAATTGATTCCATATTTTAAATTACTTTGTGATGTACATATACCGATTAGCTTTTTATCAATGTTACCTACTATTTTTTTTATAATTTGTACATATTAATGTGAATAATTATTTAAACACTGCGATATTAAGGTCATTGATTATCGATAAGAATAAACACATT